CCGTTCTGCCTTTCTGCCGCCACACCGCCACCTTCTCTCTTTGCCCCGCACGCCTGAGAACGCTCTTGCCCGCGCTTTACCTCCTTCTTCTTCGACTGGAACACCGTCTATTTCGGAAACGAGGCTCACTTTTTTATTCTACTTGTTTTTATCCAGAACGATAACCTATCTTCCTTGTATCACGCTGTATAAAATACACTTTTATTTATATTTGATGTACCATCTGTTTGTCTACCCTTCAAATTGCCCTCCCCAAAAATTGTCATCGAACAGAATAACATGAGAGCCCAGACATGCCCTTGCGTCTAGCGTGTAAGCGCATAAATAATTAAAAAATTCATAGCCACCCAATAATTCGAGGACTTGTAAACCTAAAACCTTGCAATCAGAAAATTGCGTAAAAAATAAAAAAAAAATTCGAACGAGACGTGGAACGTTGAGCCAATCACCCGGGCAGCGAACTCGTTAAAATAAACCGAAATTGCAAAAACAGCCAGTTAAAAAACAAACTAGTAGCAAAAGGACGTTCGAAGCGGCAATCGAAAGGAACAAACTGTGTGCGGTGATCCGAAGAACTGTTCGAATCGATTCCAATCAGAGGTCTTTCTCTGGCTTTCTCTGTCTCTGTCTGGTGGAGGGAAGATCGATTCGTTCCGTGCGCGTAGATCACCATACAAGCTCCCTCGGTTTACCAGACAACTTATTATCGGTTATTTATCACGGGCGGCCCGTGACTGAAATTTTTCACGGCGAATATCAAGAGTTCGAGATCCTACGTTCCACTTGCGACCATGACACCAGCCGCTGTGAGAAATGGAGGAGGCATTACGCGCCTGGGACCGAAGGCCGGACCCGTGGACAGAGAAACTGCGAGCTGGATAAAGCGAGATCTGGGTCGGAAGGCGGACGGAAACGGAGAACGAAAGAAATGCGAAGGTGGAAAAATCGAGCGTGGAATTTTTATTCTGCCACCGAACGAATTGTCCGATGCTTTATTGCGTGGTGGTCGAGAAAAAACTGTTATCTTCTATATCTTACGCATTTTAAATTTTTGAGAAACTTTGATAAAGGCACTCGAATACAAAATTTTCCATTTTTTTATTAATTTGCAACTTTCTTTATTTTTGAAATTTTTTATTGTCGGATTTGAAAATTTTTCAATTTAAAAATTTTTAAATCTGAAATAGAATGTCAGAACGTCACAAACAACCCTACAAAAATATCGGTTGAATATCATTTTGTTATATTGCAATTTTTCAAGGAAGCGTGTTAACGATGCCGACGGCAATATAACGAGACTCCACAAAAATGTCAGTTGAATATCATCTTAGTCAGTCAAATATCATATATTGCAATTGTTGAAGAAAGGTGTTAATGATGCCGACGGCAATATAACGAGACTCCACAAAAATATCAGTAGAATATCATCTTAGTCAGTGGAATATCATATAATGTAATTTTTAAAGAAAGAAGGTGTTAATGATGCCGACGGCAATATAACGAGACTCTTCACTTGTCTAGTAGCTTTGCAGGCGAGATCTGTCCGTCGACCACAGACGATTCCTCGCCGGATTCACGCGGCGATCCACGAAACGGCGAGGTTACGGGTCGGGAATTTATCTCGGGGGGCAAGTAGTAGAAAAACCGCGAGAAATCTCGGGCACGGCTGCCAGGAAAATGGATCGCGCAGGCGGAAGAGGAACGGCCGTGATAGCGGAGAGAGAGAGGAGACTGGGAGAAAAAGGAAAAGGCGTCTGCCGCTCTCGGATAAGCCGGCTGCTTAATTACAGCTAATTACACGGATACGTACGAGGATCGGTCAAATATAAACCGGAATTTCGTCGGGGCTCATCTATCGATTAATATGCTTCCGTTAGACGTTGTTTCCGGTGATTTCTATTTTGATGAATCGCTATTTATAGTTTTGTAGTTTTAGTGTTATAATAAATTATACCAAATAACTGTTTTATACTACTGTAATAAATAGTAATTCCTCACTGTTATGAGTTATAGAAAATAGTAATTTTATAAATCATATGTATAGTACTTTTTTACTGTTATAATAAATTATAATAACACTTTCATAATTTTATAAATTTCTAATATTTTGCTATATCATTTAATCCATGTCAATGAATATTTCTTTGTCTCGTTGACATATGAAGTTTGTGACATATCAGTATGTTATACATGTATGTTACATATGGTTGCTTTTTTCATGTTTATCAAGCTAATGCATGACAATACATTATGCGTTATTGACATATTAAGTTTAACGCATGTCAATGTATATTTCACTAACTCGTTTGCATATCAAGTTTGCCACATATGAGTATGTTACATATGTTATACATGTATGTTATATATTGTTGCTATTTTCATATGTGTCAAGTCAAATGCATATCAATATATGCTTCACTGACTCGTTTTTATATCAAATCTGTTATATATGAGTACATACATATGAGTATGTTACATATGTTACACATGTATGTTACATATGTTTGCTTTTTTTTATATACATATATACATATATATATATTTCACTGACTCATTGTATATCAGGTCTGCTACATATGAGTACATACATATGAGTATGTTACATATGTTATATATGTATGTTACATATGGTTGCCTTTTTATATACATATCAAGTCGAATGCATGTCCATGTATATTTCACTGACTCATTACATATCAAGTCTGCTACATGTGAGTACATACATATGAGTATGTTACATATGTTACACATGTATGTTATATATGGTTGCTGTTTTCATATGTATTAAGTCGAATGCATGTCCATGTATATTTCACTGATTTGTTTGTATATGAAGCTTGGCATATACTCATATGTTACATATATCATACATGTATGTCACATATGGTTATTGTACTCACACCTCAAGTTAAATGCATGCCCATACATTTTGACTTCGATGAAATTTGATACATATCCATATGCCATTTGACAAGTACATCAAATTCACTGCATGTTACTATATCAAACCAACTTGAGTATCAAGTTTGGAACACGTCAGTATCGTTGCCTTACTCGTACCTCAAGTCGAATGCATGTCAATACGTTATGTTTGACTGACTTACGTAAATAGTCAGCAGTGGCTCCGTTCTCAGAAAAACGCCAAGCAACGGAGCTTCGATCCAGTTGGCCGGAGCCTTGCCGGACTTTACCTGGAATCACCGTTCACTGTTCACCCGATACCTATGGCCCCACGTAACGCGCCGCGTCGCTTCCGCGATTTCTCGCTCCATGTCGAGGTTTCATCACGCCGCGATTACGCTTCGCACTTTGCCGCGGGACGAAAGGTCCGTGGGACGAGCCCCGGTGAAAAAGGGAGAGATTGAAAGTTGGAGCGACGGGAGATGCTTCGAAAGGTTGATCGCGAATTTGATATCGTATAACGCGATACACCTATCTGAGATGAGATGGAAAGGCGATGCCTTTTCTACTTTTCTTTTTTCACTCACACTTTGACTTTCCATGTTGTACGTTCCACATCGATTGCTGCTCTTAACGGTCTCAAAATTTTGTCGCGATATTCTTGAGAAAGCTGCATACTTCAAAATGTGATTTGAATTATATCAAATCATGTAACGAACACTTTTGAAATAATTTTTGTAAATTGTGTATGAGCTAATTCGATGAAAGTGTAATATTTCACCTAATGCTGGATACGTTCTTGCAAGTCCACATAATGATTGTACATCATCCTCCTTGCAACTACCATCAAGACACCCAAGATTTTATCAAGTAAAAATTAATCAGATGTGTCAGATCGGAGACGAATAACAAAATGGAGTCCTGTTATATAAAAAGAGTGGGTGTCTGACATGCATCAAGTAATAATCGCGCGAACGATTTGACGTGAAAAACCATATTGGGCCATCAGAAGCAGGAAAACGTGGAACGATAAAACGTCCACGCGTTAGATAGAACCGCAGCAAGTGTCGTTAACTGTAACCGGCACGAATTGATCAGCGTTTACGGTTGGCATGGCGGAGGACGAAGTGGTGGTATCGCACGTTTGTTTAACGTTCACCAGCAGAAATTTAAAAACTACGAGCGAAACCGAATCGAAGCAGACGGAGTGTGTTTATACGCGGTCAGAGTATATTCGATACGGCGTCGGACAAATGTGCGAACTCAATATGAAGTATTTTTAGCGCGGCGCGCTTCGAAAGCGTTCGGCGGCGAACATTCGGCTCGTGATTTCGAATTATTCACTTCGATCCGTTTCTTCGATGTTTGATATGGTATTGTTCAGAATTGGGCTATTTGCTTACGGTAACCGAGATTTCGTCGTTTGAAAATATTTGGGGAAAAATATTTGGTTGTTTGTTGTTTGCCTGCGATGGCCACATCGTGCGCCCGTCGCGTAGCGAAGGATTCGAGTATTTGATCGATTTTGAAAGAGATATCAGAGATTCATAGATCTATAACCCTTCAGAATATATCAATTCAGAAATAGACTCAAATTTTTTCAATTTAATAATTTAACAATTTATGTGTTTTAAAGAACTTGAAATTTATTTAACTTCAAACTAAGAAGTTAACACTAAAACTACCAAACCAGTCAAATGACTGCTTCGCAAGTTTATTAGGTACACATTTTGTTAAAGTACCTTCCTTGAAATCAACATTGATTTTCATCAAGATAAAGAATAAATGTGTGTCCTAATTTATGTTTCGTTCGTTTACTATTTATTTTTTAATTTCACTATGTGTCGGTAGGTTTAGTGTTACATATCCTATTTTAAAGCATTCTACCTAATTTCATGAATATCTAAAAAAACCTGTTCCAAGAGTATATCTGCAAATTTTCAAACTAGCAAGAGCTTCGCAAGCGAAGAAAATGCCCTTGCCTTAATTCCCGAATTTCCCGGAACCGATCGTTCATCGCCGCAAAATTGCAGCCTCCGTGAAGCTGAAACCAGCTACGACCGCGAAAAGCACGATAATCCACTCAGACAGAGACTCACCTTGTTGTGCGGCAGCTGTGTGGGCACGTACAACGGCGGATCCAATCCGGGGCTCGTCACTGCATGACGGCCGATAATCCTGTCCGCTGGTTTCGCGTCGTATCCTTCCGGTTGGCCGATGTGGAAGCCCTTGCTCTTCACCCAAAATCGGAATTTACTGTTCTCGGCACTGTTCACCTCCTCCCCCCTCAATGTCCTCAATATACGCGCGTACTTTTTGATCGTGATCGTTTTGGTCTTGGCCAAGTCGCCGTAAGTCTTGATCACCCACGGTTGATACGCGTTAAACATACCGTCGTTCTGAAACTTCTTGGGCAGTCCGGCACTGTCGGTTTGTCCCTTCTGCATCCCGAAGGCCGCGGAGCCGTTTACACCCGGGGTGATGCCCGTGAACGGCATGGGTACGTTCTTGGAGTCCATCACGTTGCCCGCGTTCCCGTTGCCGACGTAGCCGCCGTTGAGACCCGCGGAGGCGCTCGAGCTGAGAGATCCGCCGGTCATGTTCGAGATGTCCAGGTACGACACGGACGAGCTCTTGCCGAGGTTGGTCGCGTTCCCGACGAACGTCGCCATCGACGAGGACATGTACGGAATCGGGGTGGGCATGCTGAGGCCCCCGGCACATAGGCCGGCGTTTGGACTGGGCGCCATGCTCAGACCGGGTACGGACGCGTACGTGGACACGTCGGACATGTTCGTCGAGGCTGTCCAGCTGGTGGACAAAACGCCGTTGCTCGTCACGTCCGTGTTGGACACGGAGGTCTTGGACTGCGCGTTAGACCTGGACACGGATCCTCCTCGGCTCTTGGACGCAGGGCTGCTCTCCGGGGACGACGTCTTGGAGGCGTTCGTGGACGTTCCGCGGGATTTCTTCGCCGGCGGCTCGTCCCGTGTGCCGTTCATCGAGTTCAGGTTACCATGGGACGGGCTGTTGTTGTTCTCGGACCTTGAACGCTTGCTGGACGAGCCGGTGGCCGCGGACGTGGATTGGCTCGACGGGGTCGGCGAATTGTTCACCGGCACTCTGCGACGGAGACCCATTGTCGCGCTGGCCATTATTCCCGGCTATATTTAGTGAACGCCCGGTCGCTAGCAGGTTTCTCTGACGATCGATTTCACACTGTCACCAGTTCACCGTCCGCGTCGTCGTCGATCACCGAAACCGTCAGCCGCCAGCATTATAGTTCGGACGAGTATGTACGCGGGACGAGCTACCCGAATGCTGGCCACACGGACGCACACCGTGGACGATGGGTTGTTGTCCTCGCTTCCGGGACGCCAGGAAAATCGACGAACTTCTCTCTCCCGTCGGAGTCTGCGAAAGAAAAAGAACACGTGACAAGTGGAATTAGCTATGCACGATTAAGCGGCGGAAACGTTTAAACGAGGGCGCCGCTAATGGACTAGCGGGCAAGTAGGTGGAAACCCGGCTCGAACTTGGGGCGGGGACGCGACGGATAATATGCGGTTGAAATTCACCTACGAAATTGCTTTCTGCCTTGGAGGATTCTTTTTTTTGAATAACGTGACACGCGTTAAAAAATCGAATTTGATTCCCCGAGCGAAAGTGGATGGCCGTAGCTGATAGCAGCCGAGTTTTAACTTTTAAACAGAGTTAAAAACTACCCTCCGACTTTTCAGCGCCAGACTGCGGAGAATTTAGCTATTTGTTCTTGTAAGCAAGGGTGCACCGATTTAAAGGTAGAATGTCGATTCGTTCATGAAAGCGATGATCTTAATAAACTTCGACAGCTTCGATGGCTTTTCAACGCGTCAGAATCCTTATCCGTTTGTGAAGACTGTTAGAAGACTGTCAGTCAGGATTAAGTCTAACAGCTCTATGAGTTACTCAAATGATAGTGTTAAAAAGTCATACGATTTAAATCCAATCTCATGATACAATGATGCAAATTTTTATAAATTGTGTTGTTAATAGACGCCATCAAATTTTTATTTCACCTCATTGAAATTTTGAACTAATGGTGATTATTTTACAAAAAGGTGATAAAATATAATTTTGGATTGACGAGTATATACGTCGAAGTTAGGCGATTAAAGATTCCGTAGTTGGGGCACGTAGACTCATCGGGAAATAAAAATGACAAGAATCTTGCGGTGTTTTCTGATACCCGAAAACGGCACGTGTACCGCTACCTCAATATGGCGGGCGTACTCGACACGCGAAGGAAGTTCGTGGCTGGTTAAATAACCGGTTTCCTAATTCGTCGCGCCGTCCGAGTCCCGCTCGTGTTTAATTGCATACCATCTATGTCGCCTTGCCGCCGTTCTAACACCTGTCTTACGAAAATCCATTAGCAGCGCGCATGCACAAGCCCGAATAGTCGGCTGACGGGGAAATTTGTAGCCATGGTCGCGAACGGTTAGACCCACCATTACAACCCTCCTTTTCACACTTTACTCTATCTGATCGATCGTCAAAACGCACTAAAAAAAACTCGAAAGAATTTTCACTTCATAGATATTCCAAAATTTAACTCTTCTGAGTCAAAAACCATAATGCATAATTATTTAAAGCATAATCAATTCCAAATAATTTGTCCTTCTGAGGAAATGTATAATTGCTTGTCTCAAGAGATGATAAAAATAAAAGATCATAAAAATTCCGTCCTACACGAATACCAAAATTTGGTAACTTTGCCAATTTTTTGATAATAAAAAAAACAATTCGAGATAATCTTTCAAAGATCTCAATTATCTCGGAGCACTTTCCCAGCAAAGTAAAAAAAACGCGGAACACGAAAATGGAGAAGCGAACTTTTAACATCCCCCAGTGAACACGTTCTCTCCTTCCCGCGTTACGCCCCATGATTCCAGCCCTATCTGAGATCAAACTAACCCCCCTGTCGGGCTGTTATGATCGAGACGAGACCCCCTTCGATTAGGGGATGGAATCGCTGAAACGCGTTTCGTGCATCTCGGTTGAAGCCCAACCCCCCGTAACGGCACGACTATTAATGATGTTTGGTCTGGGCGAGATATGGAATTTTTATGTCTCGTACTTCTTTTTCTAGCACGCACCTTTGTTAATATTCGTCTATTTATTGTAACTTTACTATGAAAATTTACATGACATTTCGGTGCATTAAGGTTATGAAGTTTTCTCAGAACTTTTATGTATTCAACTTAATTTTTCAACCCCTTGCCCCGTGATTCGTCAGGTGCAACCGACAGAACTAATCAGGGCTACACTTATTAAAACAGACGGAGAAAGTTGAAATTTTATGAGAATTTTATCACAAGCTTAGCTAAAATACAAGTGCGTCATGAGTGCGTCACGAGTGTATCACAAGTGCGTCACAAATATCATATCAATTTGTTATCAATTTGTCACAAATGTGACATGAGTATATCAGAAGTTCGTCATGAGTGCGTCAGGAGTACAACATGAATCCGTCATGAGTGCGTCACGAGCGCATCTTGAGTGTGTCATGAATTCATCATGAATACGTCATGAATGTGTTAAGAATGCAACATGAGTCTGTCACGAATGCGCCATGAGTGCGTCATGAATACGTCAAGAGTACGTCACGAGTGTCATAGGTGTACCATAAGTGCGTCACGAATACGTCAGGGCTGCAATATGAGTGCGTCATAAGTGCATAATGAGTGCGTTACAAATGCGTCAGGTCTGCAATATGAGTGCGTCACGAGTGCGTCATAAATGCATAATGAGTGCGTCACGAATACGTCAGAACTGCAACACGAGTGCGTCAAGAGTGCGTCACTACTCAGACACGTAAAAATAATGCAAGGAACGAAACCGAGAATACGTCACCGTTGCTATCAGTAGACCTTCCAGTCGGTAATTAATCCATAATTAAACGGTAACAATAAAATTGGACCGTGCTACTAAAACGTTAATATTAGCTCGGTATCTAAATAAATGTAGTCGCTATCAGTTAGTGGCGAACGTTTCGAGACAAGCTTGTCGAAAAAGGTAATTAGAGCAGCCAGCTCGGATAAGTGAAGCAGATTTTGTTTTCCCGTAATTATCGCGCACGATACGACAACCGTAACGAACGGAGATACATAGAGATAGCCTGTGTCAGATAATCGCGAAGTAAAGCCAACGGCGTACACTAATTCAATAAGGCCGATCGAACTATACTCCACGATAGCCTGAATCGCATAATGAACTCGCCGCGACGTATCCGCAGCTCCTTCAGATAACAGAAGCCGAGAGAACCGCGGACAACGATTCGAGAGAGAGATCTACAATCGTGAAAATCCGTTTTGCGGCCATATCTTAGCAACGTTACAACGATCTCCAGCCAATAAAATTGAAATTATCTTTCCTCGGATAAAGATATCCAACCGGCGGAGCCACGAACGGGGAGAACGTGTTTCTGGCATAATTTTGTTTCGTTAAAAAGGTTCCGCTGTCACTCATCGCTGACACTCGAATTCAAGAACGCTCGTTTAATACGCCGTTCTTTCGGCGAAGTTGAAGAACTTGCTCGTCACGGCCGACGAGAAAGAAGACGGGAAAATGCTCGTTTTCGAAGATGGTCGCCGCCAGTTACGAAGGATTAGAATCCGAGGGAACGATAACGAAGCGAGTCCAAGAAGGGAGCCGATGAAACGAGGCCGATAGCCTCGACGCGATATAGAAACGCTCCTTTAGGTGGCAGAAACGAGGTCTTTAGCGCGGTGGCTTAAGACGCCGCACCAGCTTACTGTAAATTATCTTCTGCGTCATTATCAAAGATTGCGCGCGCGACCAGGAATGAAAATTGAGGGAAAATCGTTGCGGGACGAGGCCTATTCTTCTCAAGCCTTCATCTTTCGTCTTCTTTGCAGAAAACCGACGTGATGCTGAACAGTCTACAGCAGATTTGTGTGTGAAAGATACTTTGTTTGTGGATACTTGTCTAGAATCTTAGATAGCCATAGGTAGATTGAGGATTAAAGTAGACGTGTTGAGGTAGATCAAAGAAATGGATGTTTATTTGGATATTTCTGTTTTGGAATTTATATACATCTTCTGGATGCTAACTTAGGAATCTATATTGGTAACTTCTTGCATTCTAAATTCTTAACTTCAGAAAACCTCAAGTCTCCAAATTTGCAAATGACCACACCCAAATTTCCTAAATTGGCAAATCCCAAAATCACACGTCCCTCCTCCACTTTATTTCCTAAGCTTCTTAAACTACCAAGACCTTAAATTTCCAAATTCTCAAACCTCCATATTCTTGAACGTCCAAATTCCCACATCTTTAATTTCCAAGTTAGCAAATCCCCACATCCAAAATTACCAAACTGCAAAATCTTCAGCCTAAGTCCCTAACTTCTCCAATTGCTGTCCCCTAAATTTCCAAATCCCTATATCCTAAAATCTTCAAATCCTCAGATCTTCAATCTCTAATTTCCACATCCAAAATTCGCAAACTCCCAAATCTACAACACATATCCCTAAATCTCCAAACCCTAAGTGACCAAACAGTAAAACTCCCTATTCCCAAAACCTGTCCAAACCTCCCAAAACCCAAAATCTGTCAAAATCCCTACATCAGCAAATAGGTCCACACCGTCTCTCTTCCCTGACCACCAGAAATCGAAGAGGAACAAACAAGGGAACGCCTTGACACGGCTCTCAGGAGATAATCAGATACGTCTAATCAACCGGCTGTCTGGAAAAAACTAGATCCTTGAAATTGCCCGCATGCTGCGGAATTCAGATATCGCGCAGCAACGGACCGAGGAATGTCGCCGGCACGAAGCAGCGTAAGCTGCTGCGGTCGCAGGTAAAATTGGAGCGGTCGAGGCTGAACCGAGCGATGGATGCCGACGCTGGAGCCCGTTAACGCTTTGACTGCGACGCTAAATTCGCTGAATGTTCCAGTATGCGGTCATTTTATTTTCGACGATTCTAGTTTATTGCTCTGATAATATTCGGTCACGTTCTGCCACTTCATGATGCAGACGCGGACTTGCGGTTTATAAGTAGACATCGTTCTGTGGATTGTAGTTAATAGTCAATATATGACATAGGCTACATAGTCCATATAGTCCATGTTGTTGGTATAAACTACTCTATAAGTAGAAATCATTCTCTGGCTTGTAGTAGATACTCAATATATGACACAGTCCACATAGTCCATATAGTCCCTGTTGTTGGTATAAACTACTCTATAAGTAGAAATCATTCTCTGGCTTGTAGTAGATACTCAATATATGACATAGTCCACATAGTCTATGTAGTCCATGTTGTTGGTACAAACCACTCTATAAGTAGATATAATTCTGTGGATTGTAAATACTCAATATATGACATAGTCCACATAGTCCATC